TATATTAAACTTAAGTAGCCTGTTGAAAGTAAAAGTAAAAATTCAAAATAGAAAAGGAGCAAAGAAATATTTAAAAAATTGTCTATACACAGTTTGAGCTGCAAGATTTTGTTCAGTTTTAACTCTTTCTTCCATTTTGTATCTTTGGGTTAGCAAGAGCAATTTGGAATCTGCATCTGACAACCTGAAGTGGCATTTAGATTAATTTACACATGCGGTTTAATGCAGCTCATAGGGGACATGGATGCATTTAACCAGCAGTTACAAATGCATAAATAATGATTTGTTTTAAACATAAAACGTTGAATGTTGTTATTTGAAAATATACTTGAAATGTGAAATTAAAGCCGCCAGTAGGTGGCAGCAAGTCACTGTTAATGAGCGAGTCATTGAGATTAAATTCGGCATGAAACGGAAGTTGCAATTGTCTTTTCTTCTCTACTGTGACGTATATCCGAGTGAAACGGCATCTGAAATGAGAGGGTGGGACTTGATTTTGTCCTTCGGGAATTGATTGGATCATTGGAAGCTGGGGCGTTGCTAACAAAAGGGAGGCAGATCTGAATGCCAGTTTGCAGTTAGTGGTGGGGGATTTCTCTCCACTGGATTCACAGCCGACACTCAAGCATGAATAAATGTTTTGTTTATTAAGGATGACGACGATCAACAGCACAAAACATGCCTAAACAGCGCGCGCAAGGGAGAGAGAGAGAAAGAGAGAGAGAGAGACTGCCTGAATTAACTGATATAATGTTAATATACCAACCTACTGAAGTACTGAAATCCGTTTTGTACCTTGCACAGTTCACACATACGCTAAACACCATCATGGTAACTCACATGAAACTGAAATAATGCAATAAACATTAATTTAACAACATTAGGTGTAACACACAACCCTAATATACAAAACTGATAAGAAACAACTAAGAAGAAACATAGTTATTTCAACAAAAAAACATCTAATTTTAAATGTAACGCAGGGAATTCTGGGAATGTCAATTTACGGTTATTCACTGTAAATGATACGGTATTGTTCACTTCCAAAAACGGTATACTACCGTAAAATTTATGTCCAATACATGTAATGTCCAATACAGTTTTTCACCGTATATAGTAGAGGAATTTACCGTTAACCATTTAACAGGTTTTTACTGTAGCATATTTACAGTCTTTTACCGTTAAATTCACAGTCATTTTTTACAGTGACTCCCTCATTACTGGTGTCAGTGCTATAAAGTGAAGCATCAGCTTTAGCTTTTCCCCCTGTCTTTTATCCCAGCGTTTACCCTTCATGTGCCATAACTCGTGACTGGAAGATGAGTCATTTTGAGGGGGAGGGGAGGTTAACGTTTTTGATTAAAGATTATGAGGGCACATGAATTTTAAAAAAATACACAGTGCAAAAATACACAGTGCAAAAGTGCACAGATTAATTATTTATAATAAACACTACAGTATTAAAAAATAAGAATTTTCCATTTTGATTTCATGGTGGCTTTAAATCGATTCATTCAAAAGGTTTAAAGTGAAGCATCAGCTTTAGCTTTTCCCCCTGTCTTTTATCCCAGCGTTTACCCCTCATGTGCCATAGCTCGTGACTGGAAGAGAAGATGAGTCATTTTGAGGGGGAGGGGAGGTTAACGTTTTTTTGAATAAAGATTATGAGGGCACATGAATTTAAAAAAAATACACAGTGCAAAAATACACAGTGCAAAAGTGCACAGATTAATTATTTATAATAAACACTACAGTATTAAAAAATAAGAATTTTCCATTTTGATTTCATGGTGGCTTCTAAATGCTTGGTAGATGTGCTGACAGGGTGCCATTACAGTAAACATTAAATATTAGCCTTTATCTGTCCAGCCTTTGTCTCAGTGTCAGTGGTTTTATTAAAATAAATAGAACGTACATTATGCATACTTTTAAGGACCAGCGTTAATGGTATAAAATCATTACAGTTTTTAAAAATAAGAAATTATTCCTTAGTCTCTATGCTCAAACTATTTACATTATTTTTTATATCTATAGACGTACAATG